CCAAGAGGCAGTCATCAGAACAGAGCAAGGAAACACTGCATGGTTCAAAATTGGGAAGGGCACACACCAGGGATGTGTCCTGTCTCCATACCTTTTCAACTTATATGCCGAAGAGATAATCCGAGAGGCTGGGCTCTATGAGGAGAAATGTGGGGTCAGGATTGGTGGAAGATCTATCAACAATATGATACAACCCTGCTTGCTGAAACTGAGGAGGACCTGAAGCATTTGCTGCAGAGGGTCAAGGACTACAGCCTCCAATATGGATTGAGGCTCAATGTCAAGACAAAGATTCTCACCACTGGGCCAATTGGCAGCATCAGGGTGGATGGTGAAGACATTGAGATTGTTCACAGCTTCAGTTTGCTCTCAGCACCAGCAGCCAGGAAATTAGAAGATGTATTGCCATAGGAAAGTCTGCTGTTAGGGACCTCTCCAAAGTACTGAAGAGCAGTGGTGTCTCTCTGGAGGTTAAGGTGCATCTGATACAGGCCATGGTCTTTGCTGTCACTTGTTATGCATCAGAGAGTTGGACAATGACTAAGGAAGATAGAAGGAGAATTGATACCTTTGAGCTGTGGTGCTGGAAAAGAGTATTGAGGGTACCATGGACTTCTAGGAAAACAAACAGATTCATCCTGGGAAGGGTCAAACCGGGCTGCTCCTTGGAGGCAAGGATTCTAAGGCTACTTCTAACATACTTTGGACATGTTGCAAGGAGGGACAGATCCTTGGAGAGGGGCATCATGCTTGGTAGGGTGGAGGGACAGCGCAGAAAGCCCCCCTATGAGGTGGATTAATTCAGTGACTTGGGTAATCGGGATGGATGTGTCAGAGACGGTGCAATTGGCACAGGACAGAGCAGAGTTTAGGAATGTTGTACCTAGGGTCGCTATGAGTCTCAAGTGACTCGATGGCACATAACAACAACAACAACACAGGGCCTCTACAAGAAAAAGGACTGATAGCACAATTACTAAATGAGAAAAAGGCATGAAAAGACTTTTTACAAAGTAAGATATTCAGGTGCCCAACAGACACATGAAGAAATTCTTAAAATCCCTCGCAGTAAGAGAGATGCAAATCAGAACCCTAATGAGATACTGTCTCACTCTAGTAACAGTGGCAAAGTTTAACAAAACATCAAGTAATAAATGTTGGAGCGGATTTGTCAAGATAGGAACTCTTATACATTGCTGATGGAATTTTTAAATGATACAACTACTCTGGAAGGAATTTTGATTTTTTTTTCAAAAAAAACTGAAGATAGAAATTCCGTATGTCCAATCTATTCCACTGTTTGCAATATACTACAAAAGAACTCTTACTGAGGCACAGACACTTGTGCACCAGTGTTTACAGTGTCATTATTCACCACTGCAACCACGTGGAAACAATATTTAAAATGTCCAAGATGTTACTCGAATCTGTGATATTGGTTGTTCCTGGCACTGGACAGTAGGGGCGGCAGCTGTGTAGTCTCCAGACAGAGGGGCAGTAGAACCTCCAGGCAGCAGGGACAGAGGTCGAGTGCCCTAGGCTGGATTGGGGTCTAAAATGTTGTAGCCCCTCAATCTGAAAGGCAGGGGTTCTGCCACAGGGCAGGGTATGAGTGTACTTGGGTTTGGGTGCAGCCTTTAGTAGACTGGGGAAGCTGTGGCTGGAAGATGCCCACAAGCTATGCATGCGACACAGGCGGTGGTGTCTTGCAACAGCAAATTCTTTTTTAATAAGTTTATCAGTGTTCTAACTTTTGAGAGCATAAATCCACTGTGCTTCTATGCCTATCTCTTTTACCTTTACAACAAATTTTCTTAATTTCTTAAGAACTCTTCTGTGTATGTCACAATACCTCAACCCCTCATTATTCAGATTATTTTATCTTGTTAATTAGTACAAAGAAGTATTTTTTAGCTCTTTTTGAAAAGTCATTTTCTGAGCTCACATACTATATCTAAATGAGATGTTTCAGTTTCTCCCCCTTCTTTGGTGCTACTGTGACAGTGTTACAGCATCTTATTCTAGAACTCATTTTAGAATTTAGCTTTGTGATTTCTGGTTTGGAGAATTCATTGCAAATAAATGCTTTTAATTTTCTTATGTCTTTTTAACATATCTCTAATATATAGATACTTAGAAAGGTGGAGGGTCAGCGAAAGAAGGAAGAACCTCAGTCAGATGGATTGACACCGTGTTTGCTGCAGTGGACTCTAGTGTGTCAGGGACAGTGAGGACGGCACAGGATAGGACAAGCTTTAGACCTGTTGTTCATGGAGTTGCTATGAGTCGTACTCGACAGCACCTAACAACAACAACAACAACAACAACAATTATTATTATTTTTCATATTCTCTGTATTCTGCACTTCAGGCACTCTTCTACTGACTTTTTTTACTGATAACATTATTATCATGGAATAAAGCATTTGTATTTATGGAGTCTTTCTATTTACATTTTAACTAGAAAGAGCTCTGATTGTTTCTGTTTCTTTTTAACTTTAATGTTTATAATACCTATTTTCAATTTTTGTTGAAAATGTCATCAGAGGTGAAATTCAGTTGTTAAACTACTGAATTGTTGCACTTATTTTAACAATGGCACCTTAGATGCAACCAGTTATGATGCATTTAGTGTAGGCAAGGATGATTAGTGACATCTCTAATAGTTATTATTATTTATTTTCTTTGAAATAAGAATCAGACATTAAAAAGTACATCAAATCAGTGCTTTTTAAATGAGATTGCAGAGATTTTCACGTATTCCAATTATAAATTTACTCTGCTAAAATCATTATATAACTGAAACATTTTGTCAATAGCTTTAAAATGGAAATGTTGATAGACAATAACCTTCAAGCTGCATATTCACCATTTAGCAACCCTACTCCTCCCATGAGTAATCACTTGTGAACTGTCGTACACATTCTCTTCCAAGCCTCTGTGTACACTGTATGAGAGAATAGGTGAAAAGCCTGGGACTTGAAAAAATCTTACCATCTTTTGATAACAGAAACATCATTGAATTTTCCTCTTAATTCCCTAATATAGAAAAATAAAGCCAATTTGGTTTATGATTTCATTAAGTGTTTATTGATTGTATGAGGAGATTTTAGCTGAGTTATGAATGCGCAGGTAATTACAAAGCAGTGTGGCAAGTAATTGAGACATGACTGCATACAGAAGAGTGAGTTAGGGACTGTAGTGGGTGGCAGGTAGGCCAGATGAGATGCCATGTGCTAATAGATGGAAATACTTGGTTTCAGGTGTTTTCTGTTTACATGTGCCATGGCATAGAGGCATACAGAAGTATGACATGCCTGGCAATTACTAGTTTGTTACAACCCTCCACTCCAAATGAAAGGTATGGAAGGGCAGCAAATACACGTGGCCAGAAATTCCAGTGCCTTCAGTACCTTTGAGGACATAGAAGGATGCAGTAGTTCACCTTATAATGAGAATGTTGAAACAGGTAGCATATTTATAGAGCATGATTACTTCTGTACGTATTTTTCTCTAGAAGATATAAGCCAGTACCCACAATTCCAGAATCTCAGCTTACCATAGATTACTTTTCCCTACCTAAATTTCAGAGTGATCCAGGGAAAATAGTAACATACAAATGTGTCACTCTCCTTTGAAATATCTGCCTAATTATATTTCTGATTATGGTCAGCAGTTTTGTCTCATACTAGGAGAACAATAACATATTTTCCTTTAAAAATGTTCATAGTCCATTGTCTTTGAGGATTACTGAAAGATAACAAGTAAACATGGAGTTTTGTTTATCTTTAAGAATGCTAAATATTTTTCAAAAATGTAGTAAAAAAACAAAACAAAAAAACCCCAGCTAACCAATAAAGGAAAATCCTCAGTAATGGCTCTAATGCATACCCAAAGAATGTATATAGTCATCATATTCACCCCAGGGTATGAAAAAGGACATTGAAATTGCATCCCAGAAAGGCTTTGAGTATATTATTAAAGTATTTGCTGGACAGAAGGAAAAGAAAAAGTCTGTTGTCATATATGTCTTTGAATTATATACAGTCTAAGCATCTGTCTAAAGTGCCAAAGTATTTTAGTGCTTTAATAATGGTGCTTATCCTCCTGTTAAGTGTCATACTTTTCAGTAATCTTCCTATCTAGCATCCTTTCAACCTCAAGCTTCAGTTTGCACCGGAAGATCCTGAGAGGTTTTCTTTGTCTCAGGTGCAGGTATTTTGAAAGTTATAAAGCCACAGTATTGTTTGAATATACGTGAGACAGAATAGAAAAGGTTTGCATTTTCTACTTACTTCCTTAATAATGTAAAAGTAAAACCAATTTGGTTTATTCCATGAGACATTTATTGCTTGGATGATGAGATTTCAAATAAATACATACTTGTATGGTACCTTTGAAAAGTTTCAGTCTCATTGGGACCCCAGGGTTATCAGACAAGAACTGTGCTTACTAAGTATTTTTTTTAGTAGCTAATTCTTTGAAAGTAGATTATCAGACCTTTCTCAGAGGTGCTTTTGCATAATAAGCTTGAATTTCTAATCCCCTGATTGTTAGCTGAATACTTTAACCATTTGCATCACGCAAACTTTCTTAGTGTTATTAATTAATTTTATTCATATAAAATCTTTTTTCCAAATTGCAAGCCCGTGATCTTGAAAATATGACCTCTGGTGGCCGCTTTCATTTCATTGCATTCTTTACTATTCATTTGACTAAAAAATAATTGTTCTTTGGTACCATCACATTGACTCTGACTCTTAGTGAACCTATAAATCACAGATCTAAACATTGCTCTGTCTTGAATCGTCCTCCTACTCTGATAGGCTGTACCCCTCATATTGGTCATTGTGGCAATCTCTATTGGATGAAAATCTATATATCATTTGTATACTAGGATAATAATACATAAGAAAGACAGTTGTTTTTCTTGTATAAATTTTATATGCAAGTAAGTCGTTATTTTTTAAAAAATTTCCCCAGCAAATAAGATGTTAAGTGTCAATTTAGGGTTATATTGTCTGTCTGACTACTGTGATTGTCTTGGCTTGATGCTGCGGTCTTTTTTCTTCTCATACATGGTAGTCTTTCTGTGAATTTTTTACATAAAAATATATATATTAAGGGATCCATACAAATGTTACTTGCTGCCATAAAGAGAGTTGTTTCCTTTGCAAGAAACAGTTGATTTCCCAGCCTACAGTCAGTCTTATTGTTAGTTTGACTGAGAGTGTATGGAACTCTGGTAAAATGAAATGGGACAAAACATACAAAGAACACAGCCACCACAACAAACACTTTACCTTCCAGCTTTTTGTTGTTTCTACTGTCCTTACTTTTGGATCTTCTGTATGATTCATATACTTTTTTTGCAATGACCATATAGAACAGAAGCATGAGAACAAACACCATCCAGAAAATAAACTGGGATATGTAATTCACCACTTCATGCCATTTCAACCCCAGAGAACTTTTCAGAGATGTACACTTCTTCACTCTTTGTGGTGTTGCCTCCCGGTTACTGAAAATCATATTTGGCAGCGAGATGAGGAACATGAAGAGCCAGATGAAAGCTGAGACTATTTTTGCAAAAGCAGGTTTCTGTACGAAAAATTTCCCAAAAGGTCTGATGATCTTGAGGAATCTGTCAAAGGCGATAAAGCCCAGCAGAGTGATACCCACGTACATGGCCTCATACAAGACGACGGCTGAGAAGCGGCACACAAAAGCTCGGAGTTGCCAGGGTGCAAGGTGTGCATCAGAGAGGATTTTGAATGGAAGCATGAGTGTCATTACCAAGTCAGCCACCAGTGTGTTTTTGAGGTAGACAATGAAGGTGGATGAGCTGGGGATGTGACTGAACACCCACAGGGCCAGAGTGTTGAGCAGGAGGCCGGTGAGGAAGATGCCAGTGTAGAGGGCTGGAAAGAGCAGCTCAGTGATCCGTGTGTCCCTGGGACACCGCTCAGACCCATTGAGGACCTTCATCACAGTGACGTTCATTGTTTCTAGTGTCAGCTGTTAAAAATAAACATATACATCAAATAAAACTACATCTAATAAGACCAAATTAGCTCATTAATTGGAAATGCTATTAAAAATAAAAACACCACAAAAACAGGCTTTGGATTTGCAGTGTATTAACACTTTGCATTTATTCAACCCATTATGGTAGTTCTGTTGAGAAGTCACATGCTGTTTCTAGCTGGAAATGATGCGGCATGTAAAACTCTAGGGCTGCTTTTTGAAGTGCCATGACTTTAATACCCAAACCCAGGTTCTATCCACTTGCAAGTGCAGCCTTTCACGTGACAGTAAAACAAACCTTCATTTAAGAGATTTCACATGCTTGTCAGATGACTGCTAATAAAAGCCTCTGATTGTAGAATGTTAATTTTAAGTATTTTAAGTCCTTAAGGATATTCTGTCTTTCATAAGGAAACCCACTTGTAATAAAAGGAAAGATAGAAATTACCTTTGTTTGGAAAGATACTCAGCTCTATGCCTTCTTTTTGTGACAGTCATTGGTTTAGGCCAAGAATATTTGAGGTCAGTGTCATTGTTCTGCTTTCTTATACTGGGTTTCCTTCCTCATTTTCATGTCTCTTATGCGATTCATTCAAACCTCTTCACATGCAAAATTTAGGGGATTTTCTAAACAAGGAAGCTCTTTAGTTCAAATTTATGTTATTAATTTGCTGTACTGGAATTCGTGTGTTTGCAGTTAACTATCATTTTCCCATTAACTTGTTTACTATTTATTTTCTCAACTAGTATTTGTCAGTGTCTTTTATTTATAATAATAACGAAGAGAAAAGTAAAGAGAATAACTCAAATTATGACTGAGGACAAGAAGATTTCTTCTTAAGTCAAATAGAATCACCTGCTACCTTGTAGACTGATCCCCTTCCTCCCCCTTTGCCCCAGGGAGTTTGTATTGAAGAGTATGACCTGTTTGTTTTATAGTCATTTGTCTCAGTCTCTCAAACTTCGGTTTTCATAACAAAATAAGGTATTTTCTGAGAGAAAAGGCCAATGAGAGCCAGACTGTTGGAGTTAAACTCTCAGACCCACCGTTTATTGGCTGCTGGATTATAGGGAAATGTACCTCACTTTTCTCCTGTTTTGTTTTGTTTTTACCTATAAAATGAATTTAATAATAGTATCCAGCAAAGAGTGTTATTTAAGGATCACTGGTGATTTAGTGGGGTAGTTGTTGTGTTAATAACCCACCAGTGGGTCCACTAGTGGATGGAAGATGAAGATATTTGTCCTGTAAAAGATTCATAGTCTTAGAGATTCTATAGGTCAGTTGTTCACTGTTTTCTAGGGTCTCAGTGAATCAAAAGCAACTCCACATCAGTTGTATGCTAGGTTATTGAGAACGTGAACAGAGTTTAAGACAGTGCTATCTAAATAGGAATTGTTCAGAATTGCTGATCACTCACTACTGTGGAGAGTAGACTGTAGATAAAAATGAAAATGTTATACTGGTTCACTTACTAGATTACCATTTTGGGAAATCCATTCTGCAGTTGATGAATTTCCTCGGCTTCAGGATTTTCTTCAATCATCCTTGAGTGAAAGTCTGTAAGATGTTTCATTTAGCTCACCTAGTTTCAAAAAGTGTAATTACAACTTTTAGGTAAGAGAATGCTGCTGTCAGAGGTAAAAAGACTGCTTTACCAGACAGGTGAAAAAAAAAATTTGTGGAGGATATGGACTTCCCACGGGAAGTTTCACTTCATTTTTCTGCCCGTCAGTCTTTAATTTCAAGCTAGATCCCACTGTGAGTTTGGCTGGATTGAGAGTTAATGAAAATAACAGTATGGAGGAAGAATTTTTTTGTAATTATTATTAATTTGGCTTGAGAGTCTGAGATAAAGAATCTGTATCATCTGCATTTTTTTTTTACTATGAGACAGTAAAAATGCCTGATAATTTTGATTGACTAAATACAAGGATGGGCAGTCTCCTGCTGTGCAATTAACTGCCTGTGGAAATCTATGGGAGGATCAGCTCTGGGTCTGTTCCAACTTGATGGCACACAATAACAACAACAGCAACAGCATATACATTGCTAACACAGCTTTAAATTTCAAGTTTATTCTAGGGAATACAGATAACATGAATGTGGTGATACATGAATATTTGTACTTGCTTCAGCAGAGTAAATAAAAAACTAGCAAGGTTATTTATTATTATTTTTTTAAAGTAGGAGAGTTTTATTTTAAGTCATTCTCAATCTCACTGAAGCTTCATCTCCCTTATCTAATTGGGTGTTTGGAATAGTTTCACATTAAACACAGGAAATGGCATACGAGATAATTTCATAATTTAAAACTGGAAAGTACGTTTCATTTGAAGTTCAAAATACCGCAGTGTGGAAATACTGAAAAACAGAACTGATTTATGGTGCCCATTTCTAGAGCTCAAGAAGCTTCTTTTGAATGAGATACGTTGAAAAGTGCTCAACAGTACTAGATATCCAGCAGACACTCCTTTTATAGATCATCATTCATCTTGTGCACCAGAAGATGTTCACTTAGTCCACACAGTGCAGTGCCTCACACCTTGATGCCTTTGCCCTTGAGACATCTCTGAGACTGAGCAGAGATGTTCGCTTAGTCCAGGCAGTGCCATGCCCCACCGCTTTGATGAGTTTGCCTGAGGCAGAGTGCAGCAGAGCAGTCACTGACACTGGCTCTGGAGACAAAATGTCTAGGTTCAGTTCCTTCTTCCAGCACTTAACTCATGACTTTTGGAAAATGTTTTGAGCTCCTTGTGACATGGCTACATCCACTTTATAAACTAAACCATAGTTTGTACTTTATAGAGTTAAGAGAATGCTACGAATGGGTAGTCTCTAACTACGTAGAATTGTCGAGACCACCCAATAGCTGATACTCTGGGGTAGGTTTTCAGAGGCAGTGAATCACATGGGAGTTGATGGCCCATCTCTCTCTTGCAAAGCAGCCAGAAGATTCAGAGTGCATGCCTTTGGATTGACAGTACAATTCCTTACCACTAAGACAACTGAGCTCTCTCTACTTGGAAGAGTGGCTGACATATAGTAGTTTCTTGTAAAATTAAAAGAGCAATATTATGAACACCTGGCAGGATAGTTTATAAAAAGATTAATGAAAGCCAAAGAAGCCTGCTAAATAAAAACAGAAACACCAAGCCCATTTCCATCAAGTTGATTCCAATGCATAGCAACATTGTTGATGTTTTCTACCATCTAGTAGGAACTGACCCATAGCTGAACCTCCAGCGGGTTTTCAGAGGCAGTAAATTGCATGGGAGGAGATTGCCTGTCCTTTTCCTGTGGAGCAGCTGGTGGACTTGAAACAAGTGTCTTTGGGATTGCAGTGTTGTTTCTTGCCACTAGGCCAGCAGAGCTTGCTGTTGCAACCTTGAGGGCAGTTATAATAGCCCTATTGGTTTTCTAAGGCTGTAATCTTTTCCACAACTAACTTATTTTTCTCCCATGTTGTGACTTGGTTTTTTTTTTTAACCATTAACCTTTCAATTAGCAGCTGAACATTCTAACCACTGTGCCACTCAGACTTCTTTTAAGCAGTCTGTTTAGATGGGCATAATTACACAATTTAAATCTTACTAGATTCACAGGGGATAAAAATAGAAATCAGTAAATCTAGTTGGCAGTAGTGCATTAAGTGAGCTTATTACCTTATTAAATTCTTATACCACCTGTTAGAGAATATCTAACAGATTTAGCATTTTCTCTAGTCATGGAAGCCAGTTAAACACACCCAGTGTGATTTCAGAGCTCTTGGTAAGAACCCACCTCACTTTTCTTCCTTCCAGAAGCCATGTATCAAATGAACGTGGACTTGTTTACTAAGTTCTGGAATTGGTGACTTTTTTTTTTAAGATTTGAAGTATTTATTTTTGTGTGTGTGAATTTTTTTTTTTATTTTTAAATCTTTTCTTTTTTAGATCTTTGTAAAGAATCTTACAGACTTTGGTTTTACAATAGGGTTTCCCCCCTTTTTTTTAGATTTCCATTCATTCATTGTTGCACTTTTCTCCCTGCCCCCACGCCCCAGTTCCTCTTCTCTTTGAAAAGTAAAAGAAAAATTCTTTCATTGTCATTCAATCCCTACCCCAAGTCCACTCCACTATGCAGCCTTTGTTCTGGACTCCTGTCAGACAATAATACCTAATCATATATCCCTTTTAAACAGTTTTCTCCCTCATCTGTTTCAATGCAGTATATGTAACTTATCCCATCTTTCTCAGTCTCCTCCCAACCCCAGTGTAAGTCCCATTTTACAGCAGTGGCACTTTGTGACTATTTGTCCTTTTGTGACTGAGGTACTTCACTCAACATAATGTCCTTCAGTGTCACGCTTTTTGAATAATATTTCATGAGTTCCTTGTTTATCAATGCAGTGTAGTATTCCATTGTGTGAATAACTTTTTTTTTTTTTAACTAATGCACAGGACAGAGCGGAGTTTAGGGCTGTTGTACATAGGGTCGCTATGAGTCGCATTTTGAATAATATTTCATGAGTTCCTTGTTTATCAATGCAGTATAGTATTCCATTGTGTGAATAATTTTTTTTAAATATAATGGCTTTTTAAAAAAATATAGTGACTGGAAGAGATCGATATTTGTTCCTATCCCAAAGAAAGGTGACCTGACAGAATGTGGAAACTACAGAACAATCTCACTGATTTCACATGCAAGCAAGATTTTACTGAAGATTATCCAAAAACGACTGAAACAGCACATCAACAGAGAACTACCAGAAGTCCAGGCTGGGTTTAGAAGGGGTCGTGGTACTAGAGATATTATAGCTGATGTTAGATGGATCTTGGCTGAAAGCAGGGAATACCAGAGGAATGTCTGTCTGTGTTTCATTGACTATGCAAAGGCATTTGACTGTGTAGATCATAACAAACTGTGGCTGACTCTGAGAAGAATGGGAATCCCAGAACACTTGATCATTCTAATGCGAAACTTATACTTGGACCAGGAGGCA